GTTAAAAAAATAATTCTAAAAATTTAAGACAGAAATTGTGAGCAGTCTACGTACATCTCCTCGTTCTTCTGTCCTCTCTTGCCTGTAATCCGTTTGATGGCTGTAACTTGTCCTGCCGTTGGTGAAAGTGTGGGCATTGGCTGCAGAATATTAAAATATCACAGCTGAGGTCAGACACAAGGGTATGACCTTTGTCACCAGGTACCCAAACAACCAGTCTGATTTTTAATATTTTGAACATTTTATGCAATTTTTACAAAATTACATTTCTTATGTCTCCATTAACAGAAATCCATACCAATTTAAAAAAAAAATTATTTAAAAGAACTACAACATTTTTTTTAGAACAAGTAATTCTTTCTGTATTTGTGTCCTTATGTGCTGATGCGCACACTTACAGGATGGGAAGCCGCCTCCAAAGAACATGTTAAAGAGGTCCTCAGGAGTGATGTCAGCCTCGAAGCCCCTGTGGAAGTCGAAGCCTGCGCCATGTGAGTGACTTGGGCTGCTCGGCTCCTCTCCTCCTGTCAAGTCATACTGCCGTCGTTTGTCTGCGTTGCTGAGTACTGCATATGCATTGCCAATCTCTACAAAAGAGAGCAGAGTTAGTAGAATGGAGTTAGAAAATCTCTTCATTTCCTTTTCTTCCTCCAAAAATGTTATATTTACTTAATTCTTTTTTTCTTTTTTTTTTTCTTTTTTTAAATATAGCACCAAAACACAGAAGCAGTCGCCTCAAGGCACTTTATATTTTTGGTAAAGGAAAAAAAAAAATTAATGTGGAGTATATTAGAGTGCTTCAACACTGAAGAGCTTAGGCTACCCACTTTGACACTGAATTTACATCATTTTTAAATATCACCTCAACATTTTAATCTCCCTGCTTATGCGCACTAGTTGAACTATGGTTTTGTAGTCCTTTTAGGAAATCTGCAGGAAATCCAGCTATCCTCTGCCACTTGTGTCCAGTGGGCAAGAGCAGGGAGGCTACAAAACTCAAAGCAAGCAAGTCATTCCTGTGAACCAGCGGTCAGCTCTACACAACAAACAGTCCCCATCACACATTCAAAGTCACAATTTAAAGCAAAATATAACAAAGTTACTTTTAAAGGCCTCTGTTGCTCCAGGTGCATGGTTTTTGTCTGGATGAAATTTGAGCGCTAGTTTCCTGTAGGCTTTTTTAAGCTCATCATCACCGGCTTCTTTGTTGACACCAAGCACTTCGTAGTAGTCTTTACACCGCTTTATTCTGAAAGATAGAAACAGAATGTGTGAATGGAATAAAAAGCTTTCAGATTCACACTCTTTTCCTGTCACCTTCTGGATGAAGCAAGAACATTTTGTCACTAAAATATTAATGGTCCTGGCCCCAATCGATCAGATGTGTGATATTTAACCACAACTGAACACCTGAGAGCACGAATAACCTTTTGATGCCACAGCAGTTATGTTTCCATCCTTTGTAGATTCTACACACATCATTGATAAGGGCCTGGTGAGAATTCATCATTTACACTGTAAATATCTCAGCACTCAAAGCTTTTCATAAGCAGTCAGTGCAAGATGAGGAATCCATCTTTTATACTTTGCATGTGTAATTGTGGGTACCAAAACCTGGCTACATAATCAAAGACGACCTTATTGACAAGCTAAACTGTTCTCAGTTTTGAAAAGATGCATTTTTGTGTTTCATATTCAGAAAACGCATTTATCTCCATCTGTGGCAGGAGCAGAGGTGGTGCTCTTTAACATGTTGCAGCACTGTGCTTCGCACACAGGCAGAGAAATGCACAACTTTGAGTTCATCTCTTATTTTCTGAGTCTGTTATGTATGTCAGCAGCCTTGCTGCCACACATCAGGTAAACCAAGTCATTCAAATGTAGGTTTGTGGCTAAATGTTTTGTGTGACTTTTTAACTGCAGGTGTGATGATAAAATTCATCTAAAATTGTATGAGCAACTGAATTATTGTTACGCAGAAATTAAAATTTCCAGAATGCCTAAACTGGAAGGAGTGGGGTGGTATTACCAGGACTGTTCAATTGTGGCAAAACACAATTTTGTAAAGTGGAAGAAAAACATTTTCTTTCTAATTATTTGGATCAGGACTTGATTCAATTAACTTTTCAAATTCAGGTGAATAAACTACACAAACAAATGTTAAGTGAACTAAAACTTATAAAGACAGTCAAGGAGAAAAATGGGCCCAACCGATGTAGAATGTTTGACCAATACCAGTGCTGATATTTAGCCATTTAAAAAGTGAAAATTGTGATATATCAGACAATACAGGTTTTTTTTTTTCCCAAACACAAGAAACATGAACTGATTTCCCTAACATTTTTTATGTGTTCCTTATTCATTTACAGTCTGCCCAACACCTCAGACTAAAACATTAGCTGGCTGTTCTGTTTGTGAAAACAAACATGTGTTGCCAGCAGGGAAGTTGCAGAGTGTCCTCTGGGTGACAATCTATGCAATGTGATCAATCAGAATATGACCAAAAGGCCTGCTCATTTTTATTTTTATGTATTTGCTGTTTTTAAATGCCAATACAATAGCAAATATCTAATATAAGCTGATAATATCAGGCAAATGATATATCGGTCTTGCTCTTGTTTTTGCAGATGTGCTAACAGGCAAAATGAGAACATATAAATGATTTTATTCACAATTTACATAATAACACAAAAATAGTGCTTGACAACTAAATTCTATTTTATGCACAATTATTTGGAAAGTTCCTTTATTTAAAATGTATAAATATACTGTTGCACTTTGCTACTTTAGAATATTGATGGTGGCTGTGGCTCAGTGGTAGAGCAGGTCAACTATGAGAAGGTTGGTGGTTCGATCCTGGTCTGCTCCAGTCTGCTTGCCAAATACTGGGCAAGTCTCCAATGCATTCATCAGAATATGAATGAGTGAGAATTTCATCCAGTCATCCAAGCAATTCATGCTTGGATGACTGCTTAGAGTAGAAAAGCACTACGTAAGAACAAAAAGAAAAGAGTAAAAGTAAATAAATTAACTGGATTTTAATCAAGTATATGATGAAATTCTCATACCATGTTATAATTCAGGGGTCAACCTTCAGGATCAATACAGTTTTATTGAATTGAATTACCAAGCTCAAAACAGTGGAGTGGAACTACGGATGAACTACACAAATAAGACACCTTTAATATACACTAAGTGTACAACCCTTGTTTCTTTTTCCTAGAAACTATGATGCAATATTTAACTCACAGAAGTCTCCCAATGGATTTAACAGAAAAACACAAGGGAAAGAGTGGCTAAGTTTAACTGGAATACAAGCAGCATGTTTATCCTGGAAATAAACTCAAGTTGCCATAAACATATTTTGAGGATATGGGTAAATGTGCTATGCTTGCCTTTCTCTTTGTTTAGTTCTAATGTTCTAAAATTCCCACATGTAAAGTTACCCAGTATCTAGTCCACACTGCTAAATACCTGCCTATTCCAATGGGAAACCTATCAAGATGTAGAAGTTCCCATAGCAATAGCCATGTGTGCACAACACTGCTGAGACTAGAGCGTCCTATCTGTCCTCCTCCGTTTAATCAAGAAACACTGGTGCTGTCACAAAGCCAACTGCAGCAAAGCTGAAGAGCACAAAAATAGCTGACTGAAGTGGGACAGATTTTAGTGGAAAACGAAGCACAGCGAGTCTCACCTTTGCACGCCTTCAACCTGCTCTTTGGTGAAGCTTTTAGGCGGGTCACCTACTCCAGATCCTGGGTTCTCTCGTTCTGACTGAGTACCATTGGTTTCTGAGTTTTCCGCTGCTCTCCTGCGATATGTGCCATTACCTGCTGAGCTCCCATTCTTCATTAAAACATCCAACAAAGCTGCAAGAAGAGGGAACAAAGACACGTTAAAAGACAGTAATGCTGTCTGGCGTATTACATTTCCACACTTTTAACAGACTTCCTATAGCTGAAATAATGCAGAGATAAAATATGAATTAAAGACTTTTAATGCTGATTCTCAGCGCTATTAAATGGCAAATGGCCTGTATTTGTATAGCACTTTACTAGTCCCTAAGGACCCCAAAGCACTTTACACAACCAGTCATCCACCTATTCACACACTGGAAATGGCAAGTTACATTGTAGCCACAGCCACCCTGGGGCGCACTGACAGAGGCGAGGCTGCCGGACACTGGCGCTACCGGGCCCTCTGACCACCACCAGTAGGCAACAGGTGAAGTGTCTTGCCCAAGGACACAACGACCGCCAGACCTGGTGAGTGAAGTGCAAAGACGTGCAAACAAAGTAACGCAGCAATATAGCACATCAATTATCTCTGCCCCGGCAGCAGCATAAAAGTTTTCAATTGTTTATCAATGCATTATTCATTAACATCACTCAGGAAATGTAAGTGCAACTGTCCTCTAAATGGTGCAACATTCCCCATATTCGCCAAATTCCCACAGCCCTCTCCTCTACCAAATATGATGAAAACAGTGGATTCTTTAGTGTAATCTTTTGTTGAGCCAATTTGTACTTTAGTAATGTGCTTATATTATGCAGCTCTGGAAATTCACAAATATAATTTTACAGCTGCCAAAATTTAATCTGCCTACAGTGGTCGTGGCTGAATATTAATAATACTGCATTTATATGCATTTTTAAAAGCAATATTCTCTCTAATGTGAATATATGCACTACAGACAGAGTTGTAGCCATAACCCACATGAGATTAGTTCATGCTAAACAGCCACAA